CTCCAGCAGTCTAAGCCTATAGCAGCAGAACTATAGAGATAGATCAGGATAACCTGAGCCACTCTAACTAGAAGCTGCTCTGTTAGGAACATCTGAACCAATCAGATTTATTATTGAATCTGAAAATAATTCCAGTAGTTCTTTATGTGCTGTAAAAAGATGATCTGCATGTAATTCATGTTAAACAAACCAAAAACAAATAAATCTCATATCCTGTTAACTGAGTTGTAGAATCCTCTCCCTATAAATATTTAATTCTCTGTGAAAAAATGCCGATCATTCTTAAATGAAAAAGATCCTCGTCAAAAAGACATTGTTTAGTTTTTTTTATTGACAAAACAACGACAAAAATGTAATGAACTAAATGAGGAAGTAAAACAGCGTGATTGGCTGTAAGGAGAGCGGAGACAGAGGAATAGGTATGCTGGCGTGACGCCGTATGCTGAGCTGATAGAACACCGGTTGTCCCCCGGCTCTGTCTCGGCCCCATGAGGACGGCGGCCGCTCTACCTGAGCATGTGTGGCTGAAACAGTCATGGTTTGTTTTCTGTTTTCCAGAGGAGGGAGAAGATCGAGAGACGTCAGACGGTGCTGGAGACGGAGCTGAAGCTCTGTAGGTTTCTAACACAGACACCAAACTGTTTCTGTCCTTCTGCTTTGTTCTGACCATGCTTCTCTGTTGGATCACAGGGGACCCTCATAATGACTCCAACGCACAAGGAGATGCCTTCAAGACCTTGTTTGTTGCTCGAATTGTAAGTAAGAAGAACAGATTGTGTTTCTGGTCCAAACTGCGAACATGTCACCGTTTAAACCGAAATCTTTGTAATTCTGACAGAACTATGATACGACAGAGTCCAAACTGCGGCGCGAGTTTGAGGTCTACGGCCCCATCAAACGGGTAGGTCAGCTTCTGCTTCCCGCGGCTCTATGTGAGGAGCTGTTAGAACCTGTTCTCAGTCTCCGTCTGTCCTGCAGATCTATATCGTCTACAACAAGAGGACAGGAAAGCCCCGAGGCTACGCTTTCATTGAGTACGAGCATGAGCGGGACATGCACTGTGAGTAGCAGGCCTTCTGGATAGCCTCAGCCTGTCTGTAGTACCTGGGGGGGGTGGGTCAGAGTGTGCGTGACGCCCAGTGTGCTGCCTGCCTGTCTGGTCTGTGTGCCTGATGCCTGTGGACAGGAAGCAGAGTGTGCTCTCTATCTGTCAACCTGAACATGTTTGCTTGTCAAAGGCCAAACTGTCTTTAACTGTGAGGCGTTGTAGTTCAGTGGAAGAGCTGTTCTCCCGGTGGGACGGATTGGTAAGCAGAAGGTGGAGCTGAACTCTGGTCACGGTGCGCCTGTTCATTAAACCAGGTATCGGTTCGGACCTCTGGGCCCAAAGGCTGCCGTCTGCTTCCTCAGCGATCCCTGCAGGGACCCGTCTGGACCGGGCCGGATCCCCGAGCCTCGCTCTGCGGACCGGCTCTCCTTGTTAGCTCTTCCTCCACGGGTTCTGAATGAATGGGCTGAACCGCGGTTCTGCTCATTGATTGGCTGCCCTGGACCATCTGGGCCTGTTTGATGTTCTGGTTCCAGCGACGCCTCTGCAGGGATCTGATGAGGCAGCAGATGCTCAGCTGGACAGCATCTCCACCAGACCAGCGATGGTGCAGTCAGGCCTCCTGGACCAGAGTTGCCGTAGCGATAGGAGGGGGAGTACGGGGGGATGTGGGGCTCAACAGTATATTAACTGTGTGTTGTTCTCATTGCCACTGCAGCCGCCAATCTGTGATGGCTATTGGCCAGAGCTGGCTGGCAGATGATGATGGTTATGATACATCTACACCCTACTACCACAGCTCAGTATATGGTTGGTATAATGGGTTTGTATGATGGGTAAGATTTCTTTCCACCCTCCATCTCCTACATAGGGAAGTGGAGCGGCGTTCAATGGGTAAAGCGTCTCTGTCGGCCCCAAACGCTTTTCCTTTAACACCATGTGGACTCCAGGCTTTGGCCATTGAACGCTCCCCTCACACTAGTCTGCTGAGACGTTTCCCAAAGACTCCGCCCTCTGGGCTAAAGCCACTTCACCATGATTAGCGTACCAAATTATTCTGCCTTTTGTCCCTGTGACGTCATGAGGGCAGATGGTAGGATCCACTTTAAAGGCGGGTTTATCTCCATCAGAGCTGGACGCTGCCGCACTGACGGCGGCCTGGTTCGGGTCAGCGGTTTGCGTTTCCACAGCTGATCTGTTTATTCCCTGGATTGCTGATTTCCTGTTGGTAGTACGGGGTGGAATTTAAGCCACTTTCCGCCATATTGGTACTCCCTAGTTAGACCAGCTGCAATGTAAACAATCTGTGTGCTGCAGCATCGAACAACCAGGATGTTCTCATTTTCAGGGGGAATTAAGACTTTTAAAATAAAGATAAATTCATCACTTTGATACAGACTGGCTGTTTCATAGCAACAGTAGATCAACTTTAACTTAGAATAAAATAAATAGGCCTGTTACGTTATAACATATTATAATATAACATATTATTCAAAAAAAAAAATATATATATATATATATATATATATGGGTTATATGTCTGAGTTGCTTTTTTCCGTTAATATAACCTGCAATATATTTCAGTTCATGACTTTTTTAAATGAGAAATAAACCCAAACGCTATAAAAACCTGTGGAATGTCTTCATTGCAGCAGTTTTAGCAGCTAAATGCTGCACAGGGAGGCATTATCACTGCATGGCTCTGTGGGAGTGGGGAGGACCAACATGGCGGCTGGTGGCTTACCTTTTTTCAGGCTATCATCAATCCAGTGAGATCAGGTTTCCACCAGCAGCGTGTTCAGGCTTTCACTCAGAGCCTGGGGAGGGGGGAGCAGGATGGTTTATGAACTTACAGCAGTTATTTACTAGTTAATTACAGAGAAGAAGGAGGTTTTATTTTAGAGTTTGTGTCTGCAGTCAGCGAGGAGTCGACCGATCAACCCGTTCATCCACAACCCTCAATCTGAGCGTCGCTTTGATAAACAGGATCTGGTCTGTTCTCAGTGATTCGTTGTGAAAATCTCAAACTGCTTGGTCCGTTCTGGAGCCGTGTCCAATCAGAGCAGGGCGAGGGGGTTCTAGTCTAGAAGCACGGAGGGCTTGATGTCTGTGGTATGGTTGGACCCGAGTCCAGGATCCTCTCTGTCCTCCGTCACTCCTTCTGACGTGTCCAGCTGCTGTGAGGCGCGCTGACGTCTGCCGGGTTTCCCACTTTTACTGCGACTGCGCTCAGGGTGGAAACCAGCAGATAAAAGTACGTATAGGAGGGATTTCTAATGTTTTTACTGGGTTCAGCTGTGTGGAACCTCCTAAAGCGGTCCTGATCTGGCTTTAGTCCAAGGTGCAGATGAGGGGAACTCCTTGATAATTCCTTCATTATTTCTGACATTAGGAATCAGGCCTACTTCCTGCAGCCACAGTTCAGCCCTGACTGATCCACTCATCCAGCTTTTCCACCAAAGCGGTTCCACCTGTCAGCCCGGCCTGGTGCTACAGCTCTGCAGAAACACTTCTTCATAGGTTTCCTCTCTTCCTCCTGCTGTGTTTTACTGTCGTGAAGCACGGCGGCGTACGGAGCGCATTGAACCACGTTTACCTGCAGACGCCAACGCCTCCTCAATGGCGCTCAGAGAAAGGAAAGAAAAGTCTGGCAGCTGTTAGGACCAGAGATCATGGATCAGGAGAAAAAATAACCATCTGGAAGATGTTTACCTGTAACCATGACAACCGTGTAGCATTGAGCAAATTACTAGCTGTAGCCCTCATCTCCCACGGTCCTTTACTTATATAAAGTTCTTCAGGGAACCACTGATTGAGACTAAAGCCGATGACCTCAGAGGTCGTCTGAAGGTCAAACCTCCTCCAGCTCTCGATGGAACCGCTCTGTGATGTGAGCTGGAGAACTGGTTGCTTCCTCAGCTCCAGCATCAGATCAGTTCTGGAACCGGTTTGGTGGAAACTGGTCCTGAGAGATTTCAGGCCTAACATCAGGCCTAAGAGACAGACCCCCCTCCCCCCAAACACCAAACCAAGACCTCCACACGATGAGAATTAGCTAAGGGAGTTTCTAACACACACCCACATACATGCATCTCCTCTGCTCTGCTGTAAAGCATGTGAGTCAGAAGCAGAAGTGTAAGCCAGCGGGGGTCTGAGAGCAGCTGCTAAACACAACTAAACAAGCTAGTCCACCTCTATTGCTCCCATTTGTCCCGTTTTCTTCAGTCGTTCAGTTTGTTTGGGAACAGTGGGGGTGTGGTAAGGCCCTACAGGTGAGGGTGGGGGTGTGGGGGGGTAAGGCCCCTGGCAGACGTGTGGTCCTGGTAACTGTGGTGTACCTGACCTTTGATGGGGTTCTGGAGTATTTGGACGGACCGAGTGAATTGGTTTGGTAACGTCCTCTGACTGCCTTTGATTGGAAACTGATAAAAGACTGATCAAACGACTTCAGTGGTTTACAGAATAAATTAGCTTTAGTTTATCAGTCAAACGTGAACCTTAAAATCATAGGGAAATTTAAATGTCTAATCATTCTGGCCTAAACATGTATATAAATGTACTCTTTATCATATTGTCCCAAAGCTAGTTCTACGTCAGCCTGAACACCTA